CCCTTTTGCCTTGCCCATAGTCCCCTCTCCAGACATCTCTCCTGGGAGGGGGCGAGGGCCTGCGGGCACTGCCCTCCCTACCAGAGCATCCTGCATCCAAGGGGAAAGTTGCTCCCCCCAAGCCAGTTCTTGGGGCCAGGCCACACCGGGTTGAGCGCGGTCATCTCCTCGCTCATTGCCCGGAGGGAGATCATCCGTACCCCGCCCCTGCCTCCCCGAGGGAAGGATTATGCTCGTTCCCCAGAGCCGGGAAAGGAGAGCGTGCCTCACTCGCACTCGGCATCTTCGTTCCCTCCACAGCAACTGGAGACCTGAAATGAGTTTGTGACGAGCCGGTGACCTTTGGAAAAGCCCGATGTGCAGTTAGCAGCGACCAGGCCAGGGCAGCTGAGCCGCTCACCCTGGAGGGAGAGATGGCCGGGCAGTGAGGGAAACATCCCTCATGGCTCCTGCAAGGGCAGGCACCAAGGTGACAGCCTCAGCACCTGGAGACCTATTTATTCTGCCAGGAGCTGCTAATGCAGCAACCCTCTTGCCTCAAGTCACCGTGGGAGTGATGAGGAGCCAGCTAGCAACAGGCTTTCTGGTTGGAAATCCTAATCCCATCCCAGCTTCCCGTAAACCGGCAGACGTTCTGGGCTCAGCCGCCTCCGTGGCACGCGAGGGATTCAGAGGCGGATTTGGCTCCGAGAGCGCTTGGGTCTCCCCAGGTGCCTGTCCTGCAGCCCCTGCCCCGCTTTCCCTCCCCAGGGTCAAGCCCCAGCTCCGTCCACTCCTGCAGCTCCCCAGGGACGGATCGTTCGAGTCAAGCCCCAGAATAAATCCCGAGGGAATACTTTCCACTGGCAAATGGAAACACTCCAACAACACAGCCCTGCCAGTACCCTGAGGGATCAGCAGCGGGTTGCCCCTCAACACACGGAGACAAGATACAAGCTCTGCCTGCAAAACAGGAGCAACGGGTCTGCGGTGGGCGAAGGGGACACAGACACAGACAAGGGCACTACGCAGTGAAACAGTTAATCCCATTTTATTGTTTCCAGTACAAATGCAGTACTGCTTTCCAGCAAGGGTCCCACCGTGCACGGCTTTTGGTCTGCAACATCTGTCTCCATTTACAAAATCCCTGACCTCAAAACCAACCGCCCTAGGCTGTTCTGTAACGGCACTTTGGTTATCTGGACTTTAATGAATGACCTTTATGAACAAGGCAGAGCACATCCCTCCACAGATCAAGAAAATCCTCTCAAAGTCTTCAAATCCCATTAACAAAATGATTGTACACACAACGTGACCAAGACACACTGTCCCACCCCACTGCCCGCAGGGAAACCCAAGAAAAGTCCAGCTCCTCCCAGGCGCCACTGAAACATCTCCCTGCTTAGGAGCCACAACGGCACGTGGCAATGTTGGTGCAGAGCAGGATGACTCTGTCAGATCTTCCCAGCCTGGGGTTTCCTCCTAGTATTTATTGCATGTTCCTCTGTATTGCAGCCATCTTTTGAGGGCAAGACTATTAGAAAGAAATTGGTACAGAATCGATATGGAATTAAATGGAAAAGAGATATCAGTTAAACACCAAAAACAGGGAAAAGAAAATAGAAGGAGACATGAACGATGAACACTGTCAGAAGGCAGAAGAAGCTGCTCCTCCCTGGCAGGGTGAGATACTTCTCAAGGCTTTATCTTTGCTTGGCATGAGCGACTGGCAAGCAGGGAGGCCAGCAGGTTGTATCAGTCCTGTCAGCACACGACAAAGCCAGAACCTTCAAAGACAAACACAAATCCCTTTAACGAAACACAAAGAACAGAGACAACAACCTAGAGCATCGGATCAACGCCTGAGAGGCTTGGAGAATCTCAACACCAGTCTGCAAAGCCTTCCAAAAAAACATTCCTCATTCTGCTTTGGCAAATCAGAAGGAAAAAAGATGGCCAGCCACCCCAGCCGGTGCCTAAGCCTTGCGCTTCTTCGCAGCCGGCTCTCCCTCCTTCCCCAGCCACTGCTGCAGGATACCGGCACTGGTTTTCTTGGGCGAAGGGCTGTGGATGAACTGACTCGTCCACCTGGGCAAATCATTTTCTTTCTTCTGTGGAGAGCCCTCCTGGGAGTTTTTTAACCAGCCCAGCATCACTTTGCTGCTTGGGGTGGCTTGGACCTCCTGGAGAGACAAAGGACAGTGGGAGAGAAGTCAGCAGCGCAGCGAGAGCAGGGCAGGCAGCTGACTGCGAGAGCTGGTCCAGCGCGGGATGCGGAGGCTGGAGCCACGGCCCCGCCTGCCATCAGGCACATCCGCAGGAGGTTCCCTGCGTTGCTGAGAACGGGCTTGTTCCAAGCCCCATTTCACATGGAATTTGCCTCATTTGGCAGAGAAATCCTGGCACAGGGTGACAGTTTATTTCTGGCAGTGGAGGGAAGGGAATCTGTTCAGGGCTCTGCACTCCAGCTCCAAGCACAGGCATGCCCTGCAGACGCTGCCTGCTGCTGTCCCCACTCAGGGACGGCACCGGGGCCAAGCTGTCCCCTGCCCAGCCCCCGCCAGCACTCACCTTCTTGGCTCCCAGCTCGATGGGTGCGAGACACTCGGGCGTGTTGTTGCGGACGCTGTTGACAAAGGTGGACACCGGGTGGAAAACGATGTTCTCCGTGGGCTGGATGAGTTTAACCGCTTCCTGGGTTGGCACTTCAGCGAAGTCCAGCCACTTCCTGATGGCCTCATCCCCATCTAGGATGGCTGGCATCCTAGGGGACAAGGCCATCAGAGCCAAAGCCCAGCGCCGGTATGGCAGAGTGGGGTAGCAAAAGCCAGGCTTGTAAGGTAGCAAGCCCAGGGGGAAACAGGGGGAAAACCGAAGCAGTGGGATGCTCTCCTGCAAGGCACAGTGCGCATCCACTTCACCCAGGCAGCTGCTCTGCTGGAAGAGGCGGAGGGGTCGATTGCCAGGCCCTGGTCAGGCGGAGAGCGACCCAGCTCTGGAGAACGACCCAGCTCTGACTGCCACCCACCGGGCACGAAGATAGTGATTTATGGAGAGGGCTTGAGCCGGTGACCCGGAACGAGCCGGCAGTGATGCAGCATGTTTCTCCGCGGGCATCGGGAGGAGACAGGGCTCCCCGCCTCGGTGCTGCCAGACGGGTGTTCAACGGCGCAGCTTTCCTCCCTCACCCCCCGCCCGCTCTGCAGCCTCCCTGCCTGCTCTCACTTGCCTGTGATGGATGAAGCTCACGTCCTTGGAGGCATCCACGGTGATGATGGTGTAAGTGTACAGCACTTCTCCTCCCGCTGGCGGCTCCCAGCAGTCGAAAATCCCAGCCATGGTGAGCAATCTCCACCCCCTCCATTCCTCATCTTCCTCCTTCCCCTCGGCCTGCAGGAGAGAGGCCCCATCGCCCTGGTCAGTGCTGACCCACAGGCAGCCGAAGCACTGCAGACTTGCCAGTGCCATGGCAGGTCAGCTACTCAGATCTGAGTCACAAACTGAACTAATCTGAGGGCTTTCCAGGAGCCCTTCTATTAATTTGGGGTAACTCTGGGAGAGGTACCGGGAACCTCATCTTCCCCCAGGCAAGCCAGCGCCCTCCTCCCCTTCTGAACATCCCAGCCACTGGCTCAGCCGCAGCAAAGAGGTAGCGAAACT